CATACATACATACATACATACATACATACATACATACATACATACATACATACATACATACATACATACATACATACATACAAAACGAAGCGATCGTGCATTCTCTTAAACGTGAAACTTTTCTTAATATCAAGCCATTGAAAATGGAACTTTTATCGACCCAAAGCGACGAAAGCCCTTTTCTGTCCAAGTCGAATTATTATTTTGAATTTATCTACGTAGGTAGGTAGGTAGGTAGGTAGGTAGGTAGGTAAGCAGTGCAATCGAAACGACCAAAACATAATTGTTTGCGAATAAATAAATCGTTTCGTTGTGAGATACAAAGCGAACTTGTAACATACTCGAACGTATTCTTACTCTCTTTCCTGTCATTTAGAAAAAGAGAACATTACAATCATTCGATAGAGTTCATCTGATCTGACAATATCGATCTGATTTTTACAAGTCATTTGACTTCATTTCAAGGGTTGAGAAAACAGAGATCTAAACAATTCGAAGAGAGATTAGAAATGATTTCCTAAAATGTTTATCTCGTTACTCTCTTTCGAACGAGGAGCAAAAACAGCCCTTTAAGATATATTTTCTTCCCTGAATTTTCTTCGTTTGAGTCGGGGGTAGTTGGGTGGGAAAATTCACTTGGTGTGCTGCTTCGGTAGATGTCTCTTCATGTGCAAAGCGAGATGATCGCTCCTAGCGAATGATCTCTCACAAACCGCGCATTTGAATGGTTTAGCCCCGGTATGTTTCCTGTAGTGCCGCGTTAATTCGTCACTTCTAGCAAATCGCCATTCACATTCTGGCCATTGACACTGGTACGGTTTTTCTCCTGTAAATATATAATCAAACAAAAAAGTATCAGATTTATTATCCTTTAATCAAAATGAAATTAAATATAATCATCATTCTTATTGCTAGTATTTTCGTTAGTTAGGCCCGAATAAAAAGACCTCTGTGTGGTGCACTACCACCCATTAAAGGGAAGGAACAAAGCGTTTGCTCTTTGCCAAGAGATGCTTTTTTACTCTTTCTCTCTCTCTCTTTCTTTCTCTCTTTCTCTCTTTCTCTCTTTTTCTTTGGCGTAAAGTGCGCGAACGAGCGAGCTCTCGCGTACCCGGTCGAGATGCCGCGGTGACCTTTAACTGTACTCGCATGCTGCAACACGCTCACCTGTATAAGCCTACGAGTTTTAGAGTGCCTGAGATCCCCGAGCCAGTTGCAGGATGCAACCAAACGAGAGACAGAGCTACCGCGAACACGCGCATAGCTGCATTCCGTTAACGTTCTCCAACTTTGCCACAACAAATTTATCAAATGATAAATTATAAATGAGTTATTGAAAAGGAAAAGATATTTTTGTTTTGTTAGCCTAATAACACAAAATTAAACAAAATGTTACTTCGTATAATAATCCGCCTCATTTTCCTATTCATTCATTCGAATGTTAAAACAAGGTTCGAGTGCTAAATTTTCCTTAACAATGATAGAAAATATTTAATTGCTAATGCGAGTTTCGTTGAGTGATTGTACTAAACAAAATCGCAACTAATAATACAAAAATATTTAATTTAAAATTATTTTGTTAAACTCGACTAAAATTTGTATAATATTGTTTTAAAAGTAATTTAGCTTGATTTATATGTGCATAAGTAGGTATATCGTAAATCTGTTCTAATCCACGCATGTACACTACATATATATATATACGTTTATCGGCGAGTGGTAAGTTCAACGATGCGGATACGGTTTGCTTACCCGTCCGCATTCCAGTTAACATTTGCCAATTAACTTCGCCAAGGCAGCCAGTCGGGGGCCACGACGATTAGGACGACGTGCATTATATACATAGTTACTATATACTTGTACACATATATATATATATAAGATCCAAGTTAGAGTTAGTTATACGGTATCGAATTTCGTAAGATTTTCTTCGTCAAGATGTAATCGCGTCTCCGCACTAGTGGTGCAGCCTAATGTTCCCGTTAGATACACTTTGAAATAACAATTTCTCACGCAAAGCTTCGCGAGCAAACTAATGATACCGATTTACGAATATCATTGATGTTGTTAAGCCATTAAAGGGAGGTATGTGCACATGTACCAAGATAGTTTGAAAAGGTTTTTCAAGCTTATTGTTTAAATTAACGAACGATCTATACTAATTTTACATTTAGTTTGCATTATCCTTTATCATGAAAGGTGTTTTCAAGCTTATTGTTAAAATTAACGAACGTTCTATCCAAATTTTACAGATTTTAATCTTTCTTTTTATTAAATATCAATAATTTATTATACAACAGTATATAATTAACTAAAAAGAAAAACAAACGTAACGAATAAGAATCTACGAAGAATCGGGAAACGTCGAAAGTTCGATAAACGTAAGCATACAGAGAGAAAGAATGAAGGAGGTTATAGTTGGAAGAACTGAGGAAGAAGAGGACAAGAATCTATCTTTCTCTTTCTATTTTTATCTCTTTCCCTCTTTCATTTCTTCTTGATGGTTAAGAGATACACCCACTCATCCCAACTCGTTTCGTCGGCCCGTACAACGGTCTCTCTTTCTCTCTCTTTCTTTCTCTCTCCGTCTTTCTAAGGAAAGGACCCCAACCGGTCCACGGTTGGCACACGCATACGTTCCCATACGATCGAAGCGTTACCACCACGAGCCACGTTCATTCACGGGTAGTACACGTTCGTGAGAATCCGTCAGAATATTTTCTTCCATTCGGCAAACTGTTTGAGAGGAGATTAGTAAAAAGAAAGAAATAGAAACAAAACGAATACACCAAATTGAATTTCATTTAATTTCAATCAAAATTAATTAACATAATTTTTTTTTTATATTTGTTGATTAAACAATAAATTAAAAAGAATAAAATAAATAAGAAATAGTGGAAGATGAAAGTATTGTGAATTATATGTAGTCTCAACGAAAACATTTATTAAAGAATTTTTTTTCTTCATGAATGACCACGTGACAGGATCGAGTAGCTCGCACGCGAGAGACTACGGCGTTTTCTTTGATAACTTACCATGTACAAAAAACTACGAGGCTCGTGTCGTGAATGAATCTCGTAGTAATGCAGAGAGAGAGCGAAAGAGAGAGAGAGAGAAAGAAAGAAGGTAGAATCACACTGACAGATTGCCTTTACCAAGAAAAAGGTGTTAAATCATCCGAGATACGATTGAAATCTTAGAAGCTCTTCTACCGATCGGATTATATCGAAAGTAATTCGATCGAGTGTCTTAGACATTGTTTTTCTTTTTTTTTTGTTGCAATTCTGGATTCTTTCTGGGTATCCTTTTACTATTAATGATTGAATATATTTATTTTAGCATTAATTTAAATATATATAATAAATACTGTTTTTCAAGTAAAATTATTTTATTATTTAACCCTTTGAGGGCTGAATACTTTTAACTAAAATGTAAATTTGTAGGAACGGAATAATTAGTTATTAACCAGATTCTAATAATAAATTATATTTAATAATTACAGTTTTTATATATTAATTAAATATAATTTAAATAATTTTTATTTTAATTATAATTTTTAATATATTTAATATTATTTAAATTAAATTTAATATAATTTAATTAATTAATATAAACATTACATTATTTTATATTAATATTAAAAAACACATATATGCGTCGATAGACCACTCTTATAATATTTACCAAACGCATATATGCATCCATAGCACTCTAAGGGTTAAACGAGCCAGACGTAGTTGAAAAATATGATTTATTAATTTTTAAATTGGTGATTATTTCAAAATCAGATATGTCGGAGATATGGGTACGATTGGATTATCTGAAATAAAAAGTAGAATCGATAGATGGATGCAACAACAACCGTGTGTTGTATCGTCTGTGATGGAATTTATCGTGGTACGAATGTGGGGTCATTTTATCTCGCATAGTTTCTCCCTCGTTAATTCGATATCGTTCAAAAAGCCGCGAGCAACAACGATCTATAAGTAAGAATGAAAAGAAATAAGATTCGTAAAGTATACAAGTACGTTTGTTTGTCGAAGCATTTCTTCGTTTTGCCTCAGGCCGTCCTTGATAATTTTGGATCACTTTCACCCAGGCTTCATTATAATACTCCCATTATACTTAGTACCATTAACGATTCGATTCGAACTTGGTTTATTCAAGTTTTATATTTTATTCTTAAGATAATAAACAAGTGAAGTTGTATCTGGTCAAGAAAAGGAAAAATATTGGGTTGTTTGGAAAGTAATTTCATTTTTTCTTGACACAATGATGCAAACTGGCAAATAAAAACACGTGAGATTGGTGAGATGTTAAATTTATCAAATTCAACTGTTTATGTCCACTTGAAAGGCCTAGGTTTAACCTCGAAACGAAAATTGTCTTCATTTTTATAAA